TATGTATGGAAGGGCGGTTAAAAAAAGATGGTGCTAGTTCTATTTCCGGCATACTCTCTGTATTTTGAAAATTGCAAACTTTTAGCATTTCAAAACTATTAAATTGAAGATAGTGATCTTGACCTTAAACAAAATCTGTTGCAAAAAATAAGTTTTTTAACACTATAACGGCGACGAATCTGATATACCTACAACAGCTTCAAGGCTACAACAGCTTTTGATACCAAAAATTGTATTGTTAAAATTAGAAATTATCTTCGAACTAGAGTTCCATTTTAGTGAATATATTTTTACACATCTAAAAATCATCTTAAATATAAAAATGTATTTTATTTATTTACGTCAAAAACAGTTTAAAACATGTGACGTACTATGTAAGTTACATGTACAGAAGCAAAACAAGGGTCACAACACTTCCTCAAGGATCAGGAAAACTGGAAGAAAATCTGATCCAGATGGGATAATTGACTCAAAAGCTAAAGTACAATACTTGTTATAGGTTCTTTACAATTATACAATCCAAATGGTAAATAATACATTAAATGTCATTGTTAAAATTAATTTGCTTTTCGATGCTCGGTATAGCATCTAATCGTATAAAAACTGTTGTGCAGCAGAAAAGATTTTACTTGGGACTTAAAATTTTGTATCGAATTTTATCGTTTAATGGCATCTGACAAGGTGTTGTAAAATAATATAGTACTTGTATGTGAATTTTTGTAGTAAGCTGTTGATACCGTCACCTGATGAATATGACTACTACGTGGAGTGTTGTAGGTACAGACATCGGCGTTTGCTGAAAATTAATTTCCGCCCTTAAGTAAGTCATTTTTGACAAAAACCACTGATTTGTATATCAAGAGACAAGGAGCCTCACACGCGTCAGAACGAAGGCTTCAATCCCCTCCTCTGATCCGAGTGCTTTACCCTAATTGCCTGAGATCTGCTATTGGAAACTGTGGCGGGACGATCTTCAGATCAATGGTGCGTTTGCTCAAGCGACAAAGAAATTACCGTTGCATTTTTCGTGCGGCGGTTTAACGTGGCTCATACGCGTGGGCCACATCTTTGTCCTCTGGTGAATGGAATTCTACGCAACTGTGGTCTAAGAGCGAACGCGGCGATCTTTATAAAATTAATATTTTCAGAGAACCGTCTGATCGACGCGCAAGTGCGCGTTTCGAATTGCTGGTATGAAATTTTAGGGGGGGGGGGTTCAAAGTCACCCCTTCGTACGTGTTTTTATGTTAAAAGGCGCTGTCTTGTGACTCTTCAGACACTTTTTGGCGACGCCTTAGTGCGACGGGTACGTGGCGGCCAGTTTCTCGGGGCAACCTCGCAAATAGCAGACCGTCTATTTGTCGCGATCATAACATATCTGCCCGCGCTGTCGGAACGGCGCACAGTGGTTGATTTCCTTCATCTAGCGGTATTAAAATATTATCAAGAGAACGGTGAAGCCC